TTTAGGCCCAAAAAATCAGGTTTTTTTGAGCCCTGAACTTTTTTTATGGTCTAATAACTTTACAGGGTACCTCCTGAGTTATCCTCTCCCCCTCTTAATTTTTATTGAGCCTATTTTTACCTTGTATGGCCTTGAAAAATTAATGGAAGTAGGTCAAACTCAAGTAAAATTGATTTAGGCCTAAAGAATCAGCTTTATTAATGACCTCAAATTTTTTCATAGCCCCTCGGAAATTAAAAGGCACGCCCTATGTCATTTTCCGTACCTCTTAATATTCATTGAACGTATTTTGACTTTGTTTGACCTCGAAAAATATAAAAAATAGGTCCAACTCAAGTGAAATTGATTTAAGCCTAAAAAATAACGTTATTCCATGCTCCCAAATAACCTTGTATGACCTTGAATAATTAATGAAAGTAGGTCAAACGAAAGTAGTATCGATTAAGGCCAAAAAAATTAGGTTTCTTTATGCCATTAATTTTTTTTATGGTACTTGACAATTACGGGGTACCTTCTTAGAGATCCTAAGTCCCTCTTGATATTTATTAAACCTATTTCGACCTTGCATGACCTTAAAATATCATGAAAAGTATGTCAAACCGAAGGATAATAGATTTAGGCAAAAAGATCAGGTTACTTTATGCACTCAAATTTCCTTCTGGTCTTATAAAATCACTGGGTACCTCCTGAGTTATCTTCCGTTCATCGTAATTTTCGATAAACCTATACTGACCTTGTAAGACCTTGACAAATCGATAAAAGTAGGTCAAACCCAATTATTATCGATTAAGGAATTAAAAATCAGGTTTCTTTATGCCCTGAAATTCTTTTATGGCTCTTAACAATTAGAGGGTTTCTCCTAAGTCATCTACTGTCCCTATCAATTTTTATTAAACCTTTTTTGACGTTTTATGACCTTGAAAAATTTATAAAAGTAGTTCAAAACCAAGTACATTTGATTTAGGCCCAAAAAATCCAGTTTCTTTATGCCCTAAAATTTTTTATGGGTCTTGAAAATCGAAAGATACCTTCTCAGTCATCCGCTGTCCCTCTGAATTCCTATAGAACCTATTTTGACCTTATATGACCTTGAAAATCTAATAAAAGTAGTCAAAACTCGAGTAAAATTGATTTTGGCCCAAAAAATCAGGTTTTTTTGAGCTTTGAAATTTTTTTATGGTCTAATAAAATCAAAGGGTACCTTCTGAGTTATTTTCTATCCCTCTTGAATTTAATGAGCCTATTTTTACCTGTATGGCCTTGAAAAATTAATGAAAGTACAGTCGAATTGCGTTATGAGTCCGGCTTGTTTTCTTTGTTTTTGAACCAGAATCGCTTTATTAAGAGAGAGACACAAGGAGGGCTCATAACGCAACTCGACTGTAGGTCAAAGCCAAGTACAATTAATTGAGGACGAAAAAATCAAGTTCCTTGATTCCTTAAAATTTTTTTATGTCGTCTTAAGCAATACAGGGCACCTCCTTTGTCATTTCCGATCTCTCTTAGTCTTTATTGAACATATTTTGACCTTATGTGACTTTGAAAAATATAAAAAAGTTGGTCAAACTCAAGTAAAATTAATTTAGGCCTTAAGAATCAGGTTTATTAATGCCCTCAAATTTTTTCATAGCCCCTCAGAAATTATAAGTCACGCCCTGTGTCATTTTCCGTCCCTCTTAACATTTATTGAATGTATTTTGACTGTGTGTGACCTTGAAAAATATAAAAAAATAGGTCAAACTCGAGTAAAATGGACTTAAGCCAAAAATATTACGTTATTCCATGCTCCCAAATGACTTTGTATGACCTTGAAAAATTAATGAAAGTAGGTCAAACCTAAGTATTATCGATTGAGTCCTAAAAAATTAGGTTACGTTATGTCATTAAATTGTTTTATGGTATTTGACAATCACGGGGTACTTCGTTAGACATCCTACTTCCCTCTCGATATTTATTAAACTTATTTTGACCTTGCATGACCTTGAAATATCATAAAATGTATGTCAAACTGAAGGATAATAGAGTTAGGCAAAAAAATTTTTTATAAACTTAAAATTCTTTCTGGTCTAATAAAATCACTGGGTACCTACTGGGTTATCCTCCGTCCATCTTAATTTTTGATTAAACTATTCTGGCCTTGTAAGATTTTGACAAATCGATAAAAGTAGGTCAAACCCAATTATTATCGATTAAGGACTTGAAAATCAGGTTTCTCTATGCCCTCAAATTCTTTTATGGTTCTTGACACCTAAAGGGTTTCTCCTAAGTCATGTACTCTTCCTATCAGTTTTAATTGAACCTATTTTGACGTTTAATGATCTTGAAAAATTAATAACAGTAGTTCAAAACCAAGTACAATTGATTTTGGCCCAAAAAATCCAGTTTCTTTATGCCCTGAAATATATTTATGGGCCTTAAAAATCAAAGGATACCTTCTTAGTCATCCGCTGTATTTCTGAATTCTTATTGAACCTATTTTGACCTTGTGTGACCTTGAAAATTTAATAAAAGTAATCAAAGCTAGAGTAAAATTTATTTAGACCCAAAAATCAAGTTTTTTTCATGCCTTTAAATTGTATTTTGGTCTTATAAAATTACACGGTACCTTCTTAGTCATCCTGTGTCTTTCTGAATTTGTAATAAACATATTTTGACCATGCATGACCTTTAAATATAAAGAAAAGTATGTCATACTGAAGGATAATGGATTTAGTCCCAAAAAATAAGGTTTCTTTTAACCCTGAAATTTTTTTATGGTCTAATCAAATCACAGGGTACCTTTTCAGTTATTCTCTTTCTCTCTTAATTTTCATTGAGCCTATCTTACCTTGTATAGCCTTGAAAAATTAATGAAAGTAGGTAAAAGCCCAGTACAATTAATTGAGGCCTATAACTTCAGGTTTCTTGATTGCTTAAAATTTTTTTATGGAGCCTTAAAAAATACAGGGCACTTCTTTTGTCATTTCCTATTCCTCTTAATATTCATTGAACGTATTTTGACCTTTTGTGACTTTAAAAAATATAAAAAAGTCGGTCAAACTCTAGTAAAATTGATTTAGGCCTAAAAAATCAGGTTTTTTCATACCCGTAAATGTTTGTATGTTTTTATGAAGTTTCAGAGTACCTCTTGATTCATCCTTTGTCCCTTGAATTTTTGATGAACTTATTCTGACCTTGTATGACCTTGAAAAATTAATGAAAGTAGATCGAACCCAAGTATTATCGATTGAGGCCGAAAAAATCAGGTTTCTTGATGCCCTTAAATTTTTTTATAGTCCTGGACAATTACGGAGTACTCCTAAGACATCCTACGTCGTTCTCGATATTTATCAAACATATTGTGATATTGCATGATCTTGAAATATCAATAAAAGTATGTCTAACCGGAGGATAATAGATTTAGGCCTAAAAAATCAGGTTTCTTTATGCCCTCAAATTTTTTAATGGTCTTATAAAAGAACAGGTTACCTCCTGAGTTTTCCTTCGTCCGTGTTAATTTTTAGATGAACTAATTCTGACCTTGTAAGTCCTTGAAAAATCGATAAAAGTAGGTCAAACCCAAAAATTATCGATTGAGGCCTCAAAATGAGGATTCTTTATAACTTAAAATGTTTATATATGGTCTTCAAAAATTACAGGGTTTCTTCTCAGTCATCTACTATCCCTCTCAAATTTGATTGAACCTTTTTTAACATTGTATGACCTTAGAAAATCAATAGCAGTATGTCAAACTGAACGATAATGGATCTAGGCCCAAATAAACAGGATTCGTCAAAATCTCAAATTTTTTTATGGTCTTATAAACTGACAGGGTAACTTCTGAGGCATCCTATCTCCCTCTTAATTTTTATTGAGCATATTTTCATCTTGTATGGTCTTCAAAAATTGATGAAAGTAGGTAAAAACCAAGTATTATCTATTGAGGCCTTGAAAATCAGGTTTCATTATGCTAAAAAATTTTTTTATGGGCCTTAACAATCAAAGGGTACCTTCTCAGTCATCCGCAGTCCTTCTAAATTCTTATTGAACATATTTTGACCTTGTATGACCTTGAAAATTTTATTAAAGCAGGTCAAACTCAAGTAAGATTGATTTAGGCCGAAAAAATCAATTTTTTTCATGCCGTTAAATTTTTTTTTGGTCTTATAAAATTACAGGGTACCTCCTAAGTCATCCTGTGTCCCTTTGAATTTTTAATAAACCTATGTTTTCCGTGCATGACCTTCAAATATACAGAAAAGTATGTCATACTGAAGGATAATAGATTTAGGCCCATAAAATCACGTTTTTTTGAGCCCTGAAATTCTTTTATGGTCTAATAACATTACAGGAAATCTCTTGAGTTATCCTCTCTCTCTCTTAATTTTTATTGAGCCTATTTTCACCTTGTACGGCCTTAAAAAATTGATGAAAGTAGGTCAAATTCAAGTGAAATTGATTTAGGCCTAAAGAATCAGATTTATTTATGCCCTCAAATTTTTATATAGCCCCTCAGAAATTACGAGTCAAGCACTGTGTCATTTTTTGTCCCTCTTAATATTTATTGAACGTATTTTGACTTTGTGTGACCTTGAAAAATATAAAAATATAGGTCAAACTCGAGTAAAATTGATTTAAGCCAAAAAAATTACGTTATTTCATGCTCCCAAATGACCTTGTATGACCATGAAAAATTCATGAAAGTAGGTCAAACCGAAGTATTATCGATTGAGGCCCAAAAAATTAGGTTTCTTCATGCCCTTGAATTTTTTTATAGTTTTTGACAATTACGGACTACCTCCTAAGACGTCCGTCGTCCTTTTCGATATTTATCAAACCTATTGTGACCTTGTATGACCTTGAAATATCATGAAAAGTATGTCAAACCGAAGGATAGTAGATTTAGGCAAAAAGGAGTAACAAGTGATGATTTCCACAACTGCGGGAAGCATCTATTTACCAGCGAATAATCAATCAGCCTCGCAATCAATGGAGCTAATACATTTTTAAAAGTTTTTAACACTTGCACAGGCAGGTTATCAACGCCTTTAGCACGAGAGGAACCAACAGGAAGATGCTTGACGACGTCAGGTGCACTTGCTCGACTAAAAGTAAACCACTCGTTTAGACGTGACCGGTCAACACTAGCGACAGAATCTTCGAAAGATGGGAGCTTCCTCCCTTGAATAATAGCCACATAGTAGTCATTAAGCTCATCAATATCAAACTTTAACGGTGCTCGTGACTTTGATGATGATACTGAAAGGCCTAGCCTATCCATTTCTATCCAAAAGTTTTTCGTTTGCCCAGCTCTAGAAAAAACAGACTGAAGATAGTTCCCTTGCTCCTTCTTCCAGAGTAATTGTGATTGACGTCGAAAACGCACATAATTCTCCCACACTAATGGATGTCCGCTTCGTTTGAACCTTCTGTAGGACCTATCACGCTCCCTGCGCAGGTCACGTAACTCTGGTGTGATCCAAGGAGCTGGACGATGTTTAGCTGTGAACTCTCGTACAGGCACGCAGTTCTTAACAATATCTTGGATTATCATATTGAGGCTATGCAAGCACTGATCCACAGACTGCTGACTGTCATCCAAATCCGCATTCAGCTCATCTATCCTTTGATCAACAATCTCTCCTGCAGCAGCCAGGTCAGCTTCCTTCCATGACAGACATTTGATGCGATGCCTAACAGGCTTCGGGTGCTCGTACTTAAGACAGATATAAATTAAGTCATGAGAAGATAGAAAAGGCTGGCCTGATTGACCCCAAGATTCAAGCGAAGACAATTGACTAACTGCACAGACATCAATCCAGGTGTTAGCTTGCGCAGTATGATTAGTAGGTTGCATCGGTACAACGCTCATACCACTTCTAGTGAAAAAGTCCTTCAGCCTGGCCGTCTTGTCACTGCGAACGTGTAGATCAGCATTGAAGTCCCCAAGTACACACGTAAATTTATAATTAATCATCCTCATAGAAAAGTCGTCTTCAAAAATGTTCATGTAGCCAGACTTAGGTGGACGATAGACAATAGCGACTAAGATTTTATACTGCGAGGGACCCCAGATTTCAGCAGTGAGGTATTCAGGTAATATAATCTCCCCAGCACCAGCCGATGAACTAAGCAAGCGAGCATTGAGCTCTTTGCGAACATAAAGCATGACGCCTCCACCACGTTTGTTATGACGATCTACACGCAATAATGCATACCCCGGTAGGTTCACTTGCTGATCAGCAATAGCATCGCAAAGCCACGATTCTACTACACCGATAACGTGATAAGGATTAAGTCTGAAAAAGTCCTGGAATTCACAAAAATGAGCCATGAGAGATTGAGCATTCAAAGAACAAATGTTAAGTACTGGAAGTTTGGCATTATTATTCGCAACTGATGATATAAGAGACCCAAACAGCTATTGAGAAAGTTCCTGCAAATTTGTAGACGGCAGGATCCTGGTCGGCCGACTATCTGCGGACTTCCTCATAAAAACAGCTCCATCGGCTATCCAGATATGCTTCCTATCAACTCGTGGAAATGCTCTCAACACCCGGTCCCGAAGCTGGTAAAGCTGTGCTGGCTGACGTGGGTTTAAATAGACTTTATTATTCGGAAATGATCCGTCGACATCTCGAGCAGTTAGATTCGGCTTATTCTTTTTGGCAGTAATTAACTTCTTGCAAGACTCTTTGTTTTTTAGTGTGACGATAAGTGAACGGGCAGCAGCTGCCTCTTGTCCACCCTGCTGATTACCACCACGAGCTTTCTTACCTACTCGGAAAGCATCAACCAGCTCATCAGGCTCAAAGTGAGATTCCGGTGCATCCATAAGAGCACCAGCTAGCACCTTACTATCTTCATTCGCAGCTTCCGGCAGGCCACTCACAATAAGCTGATTGGAGACTTGCTCACAGGCAGCACGCAAAAGCACCATTTCGTCAGCAATAGAAAGTCCCATTTTAGCCTCGCTCACCTTCGTCTCGACCGCAGTAAGCCGCTTATTGAAAGCTTGAATGTCAGCAACAGCCTTCTTTTGTGCAGTTTCCAAAGATCCAAAGTCCTTGCGAAGCCCAGCAACATCGTTCACTAGCCGATCAACCTTCTCCTCACACGACTTTAGCCCATCTAGTTTGCTGTCAATTGATTGAAGCAGTTTTTTGACATAGACGTCGGTAATATTGCAGCTCGGACATGTTTCTTTCAGATAAGCAGTAATATCACGACATTTGTATTTCAACTTAAGTTGAAGACATTCAGTGTGAAATACATGTTTACAAGTCGCTCCAGTAGTAGGCGCTTCTGCAACGCGCGTAATTACGTCAAAACAAAGTGCACACAGTACCGGCATTGTTACAAAGTCTAAACAATCAACCTAGAAGACGACGATGGAAGGACAGCGTTATTCTACGCTGTAGAAGGAAGACAGGAAAGAAAAGTAGATAAGCTACTTCGGATGGGAGCCGGAGTTAATCACACTGATAGTCAAGGAATGACGCCATTGATGATGGTCTTCAACAAACGAGTAGACTACATCTACGAGATAAGGGATGGGTGGAGCAACGCTCTTCAAAATTACAAAAATTTTGTTAATCTTTGGAGCAAAAGTGAACAAATGTACCAGAGAGGAAGGCATCACAGCACTGCACATGGCCACACACAGAGGATATGAAGAAATGGCTAGAATATTGCTAATTAATGGAGCAGACATCAGCGCCAGGACGAAAAAAGGAAGGTACGTCCCGCAATTCAGCAAGTATCACAGAGAAGTAGCTGACATGCCAAAAGGCTATGACTCCGGCATCCCAAGGAATACAAGGGACCACGGAACCCGCGGCCAGGTACAAGTACGCGACCTAATCAAACGCTGGCTTTTGAAGCTGCGGGCAGGAGGTAAAGAAATAGTGGAAGAATTGAAATCAGAAATAGAATGCGTCGATGAAAAGTTAGAAGACTACGAAACCGAAGTGCTGAACGAGATAGAAATTATGAAGATTACACCTACAACACAGCAGTCAATAACCTTGTTCGACATCTGGAGAGCCTCAGAGGAGCAGATGAGCGTCTACTGCAGGAACACGGAGTTCAGGAACGTCCTAGAAGAGAAGCTAAGAAATACAGACAACTTCAGGGAAGAATTGAAAGAGAAAGTGAAACGGGCATTACAAAGAAAGAAGATAATCGACTCTGCAGAAGAAGAATTAGGAAAAGTGAAGATTTTACGCCATTTACAAGGGCATGAACTGGACAAGGTCATGAGTTACCTGGAAATAGAAGACTTGGTCAAAATAGTGAACCCGAAGAACATCTCAATCGTTGAAGAAGTATGGTGAAAAAGTGGGACACCAACAACGACCAACGACACCAGGGCATGAAACGATAAGTAAAATAGATATAAGTGATGTAATCAGTAATTGCTATTAAATTTTAATATTATAGATTTTCATAAGATATAGAAACCAATAGATATATATTTTATTTTCTTCTTTTTTTTTTCTGTGCTGGAAGAGGATTGCATTAATCAAAATTATAACAACACAGCATGCTAATTAAAAACACTACCCTTCGTACACATTATATTCCATTTTCATTCTTCTCATCTCGAAACCCGGCCGGTAACTCTTTCACGTACAAAATAATAACTATTCTTTAAGCTTATACTAAAAAAAACTACATATACTAATGCATTATTTGAGAAATGTAATTTCTTCCAGAGCAGAAATCGATATAAAATAAAATAAGTCATATATATATATATATATAAAAATGCGTGAAAATTTTTTTTTCATAAAAAGATAGAAACAACGACTGAGTACAAAAGGGGGATGAAATGGGGGGTTTTTCAGTAAAACCGGGGTTTAATGTTTAAATAAAATTTTTTTTCTCTCGATATATTTTTTTCTCTTACCGATAAGGGTCAGCAATAGGACCTGACTTTAAAATAATAATATGTTGAAAATTACTAATTTAGCAGCGAGAATCCCCGCTGACCCACATTTAAAAGATTAAAATTCCGCAAATGATAATCATTTTCGGAATATAGGGGGCTAGAGATATTAACGTTATGTAGACAAAGAAAACCCTAGCTATCGTAACCGGTCTTATGTTGTAATTTTAGGAAAGTTTTAGCATAATATGTTTATTTCGTCGAGTAATGTCGAGAAATGGCATTGGCTCAAAATTCTGTAGATCAATGGCAAGATCAAGTTGAAAATGAGCAAAATCGACCAATTACTTTACAGGTTGGGGGTGTTCAAAATTTTTTTTTGCTCATTTGCAAAAAGAAATTATATAATAAATCTTTTAAATTGTGTACCTTTTTTATATATATAGGAAAATGATCTTCCAGATAAAAAGATAGATAAAATCTATCAAATTCATCATAAAAATTAGTTTAAGTATCTTTAATTTTTTTAAATAATATCAAGTCGTAAAGAATAGCTCAAATTTATCAAATATATGTTAAAAATCACATAATTATCCTTAGTTTAAGCTATTATTCGTCACTTTTGACACCCTTTTAATTTATCTCGGAGGAGGGAAAAATCAAATTTTAATCCTAATTACATACCCTCATTGGATATGGCCGAATGGCGTTTATCTCAATTTTTCATATATAAATAATAAGTGACTCAATACCGCGCAGGCGAGTCAAATCAAAGAAGAAGAAGATTAGAGATCTAATAATAGCGATAATAATACTATTAAAAATAAAAAGGATACGATTAAATTGCGTGGTAGACACCACACAGAACTGTGAGAAAATGCTCACATGTCGGAGCACCACCATTGCGCCTTAACAGCGGAACCGCCCATTATCAGCAGCAGCAGTGATGAAGAAATCAGGTAAACGGCAACATCGGAAACACCGTTCCATGACTTTTCTATATATATATATATATAGAAAAGTGATCTAATAATAGCGAAATATAGATTAAAAATAAAATTAAAATAAAAATGAAAATAAGAAAAAGGATACGCTGAGCGGTGCGGTAATCACCTCGCAAGAAACGTGAGCAGGAGAAAATGCCCAGGCGCCAACAACGGAACGGCCAACACCAGCAGCAGCAGCAGCAGTGACAAAGAGAATAAGGAAATCGGCAACATCAAAAGGCCGTTTAGCAAATGATTGGAACTAATAACGATGTCACCAACAGCAGGAACATCACCAAGCAGGATGGAAGGCAGTAACTCGACACAATAATTCACCTGAAAAACATAAAACAATGTAATACATAAAGTATGGGAGGAAAAACAGAGAAGAAACTCACCATGGGCTGCAGGAAAAGTCACCAAGCACCAGCATCGACAACAGTAGCAGCAGAAATAGCAGCATCTGCGGCGGTAATAATGACAACAGCAGCCAATCAGCAACGGTAGCCACAAAAATATATATATTTTTTTGTTCTCTCCTTCTTCAAACCACATCAGGACGATCAACCTGAAAATATTTTTTTTTAATGTAATAGTGAAATGCTAGAAAAAAAAAAAAAAAAAAATAACTCACCTGTGACGACAGCAGTAGCAGGGACAACGATAGCAACAACGAAGAGACCGCTGAGAACTTCAAAACCGGAAGAAAACAACAGCGTTGAGGAAAACTAAAGACATCGAGAAGGGAAACCCTACTAGGAAAAAGGGAATCCTAAAAACCTAAATAATTCAAACAATTTTCTTCCTCTCAAGCTGGAATTTTTATTTTTTTTTATCAAAAAATATATATAAGAGGAAGTCCCATGCTAAGACATTCAGATATTATTGAAATCACCTGAAAAAAAAAAAAATATAATAACAAATATATTCATTAGTCTATTCCGTGCGCCTTCAAGACTGTCTCCTCAAGGTGAGTGGAGAGTATTTTCGGCCATTGGTCCTTATGCGATTTTCGTTAACGCATGTGGACGTTCTGGTTTTTCACTTAAATTGCTGGCTAGCTGGCTTATGTTGAACATGGGGAATGGGAAATTGTCTGTTGGTTTTGCGTCTTTTTTCGTGCTCTTGATGATGAAACGCTCATTTCCGAGCGTACATCCTGGGTTAATTAAAAGAGTCCCGGTTCCACTCATTTGTTTTTCTAGATAAGTAGAAAAATTACATGTGAGAGTGAATTTTTCAGTTTTAGATAGAGTAGGCCCATACGTTGGGCTGATGAAGTTTGATGATGGTCGTCGAGCATTTCGGGAATACTCTGACGTCGCACGTGCTTGGTGTTACCAGGCCGGGTTGTAAGTACAGCAACAACTCGCATTCCTCACTTTTATCCACCTTTCGGAATGGTTCATCAGGTTCGCAGGCGAGGTCGGTTCCTATTTTTCGACAGTTTTTGATGTCTTCTTCGTCTGCCAGATAGTATTGATCTTTTAGCGCGTTAATCGCTAAGTACTGCTTCTGTGGTTGGATGGCCATGCTCCTTGCTTCTCCGCCGATGATCTGCGGTACTGGCATAAGTTTCATTTTCAGAATTTTGAAGGTCGACTGATTGAACAGAGGTAGTGTGATGATTATTAAAAATTTTTCCTTTATTTTCCCGGTTTTTGTTTCTGCCACTGCGTTCAATGCATGCACGTTTGTGAGTTCTACTGGTTGTGGCGGATTTAGCTCCGGGTATTGTCTGCTGATGTCCTTTATTGCCGTAGCCAATTGTTCCGGTAACAAAATTTCTCCGGGTATGTTACCATTTTGTGTTTCTTCGATCGCGATGACGGCTTCGTGGAGGTAGCGGATTAAGCTTTCCATATGTTATTCATATTCTTGAGCCATCTGTATGAGGTTTATTCGAAAACTTAATTTTTTCTCTTCATGTTGTATTTGTGGCCAGTACGTGTTCAATTGCCCCACCAAGGAGTACACCCGGTGTCGAGTGTCGTCTTCGTCAGAAAGTATTTGATTGATTTTTGATTTTATGACGTGTGTCGAATTGTTTATTAGGGCTGTAATTTCCCTTTGGTCGTTGTATAGTCTGTCTATTTCTTTAGAAAAATGTTCGAAATCGTCGTAGTCCATGACACCGAATGCTTTACGGGCAATTTTTCCCACAAAACCGAACCAAGGTGATCTTCGAGTGCGGATGTCTGCCTCTGTAATAGGTAAAGTTTCCGAGAGTAGCTGTTGTAGCCGACTGACTAAATTTTGTCTGTCTCTTTCTAAGTTCTCGAGACTCTCCGATCTCAGAAGCAGTGCGCATTCCGTCTTTGTGAAAAATGAGAGGCATTTTTGCGTGGAATCCAGATCCGAGGTAGGTATAATTGAATGCCAAGGTTGAATGTGGATTAGTCCGCCGATCTCTATTGTCGAAATTATTCTCCATTTTCTTTCCGTGATATGGACGTTGGTGATCTCATTGAAAATGATCCCAGGGTTCTCCTTGGAAGGCCATAGGTATAGACCCTCAGATGTTAAGTTGATGTACCTTGGGCATAAGATACATAGGAAGATTTGGATCCACATTTTGTTTCCGATGTAGGTTAAGCCTCAACCAGGAAACTACAACAGAAGAATAGTTATTAATCAATCGCTATCTTTAACTTGCTTGGGTGTTTAATGGCTCTTTTTCCGCCCGGAAGTTCTAACACTTGAAATAAATGAAGAAATAAATGAAAATGATGAAAATTTTTTTCAGAATTTTTTTTTTTTTGAAATTTAATTTTAAAAATTTTTTAATGTTATTTTTAGTTTTTAACGAATTTAATTTCGCCCCGCCCCACGTTGGGCGCCATTGAAACGTGGCTGGTCTCGACTGTTCGTAGAGACAACAAATTTTTACTTCACAAAATAAATTACTTAAATTTATTTAAATTATTAATTAAGTATGAAATAAATTATTTAAATTTTAGTTAAATAAACTCTACGAACTGGGCCGAAAAGACACGCCCGTTACACCTAGAGTGTAACCAACTCGAAGCTGTGGCTTATAAGAGTCGATGCTGCTCCAGATGCCTGTAGCTTTAGATTTTACGGCGGACCAAGCCGATAGCTTTCAAAACTACAAATAGCTAAATTGATTAGAGAAAAGAATATGGTCCAGGGCAAATCGTGGGTGGCGATACTCGTTGAAAAGTGGGTTCAGCTCCGACACAAAACCAACCTTTACCGCGTACTGCTCCGCTGATCGCTTAGTTAGAAAAATAGAGCTAAATGGTCGACAAATACAAATATTGAAAAATACAGCTCAAAGTAAGTTCAATACCGCGTCCAATTCTTACCAATATACCACCTGACTTACAACAGGTACTACTACCACTTCGGTGTGCTTTAACGTTGTCCAGCGGTTGGGTTCGAGCCCTGGCAATTGCAATTTTTCTTCTGCGATTTCCGGGGCTTGCTCCCTTGCCGACTGTACCTTGACCAGGTTTCTGTGGTTTTTCCTCGGTCATTGTGCCCCTAAAATAAGCGGGGCACAGGCAAATGCGGGTACAGACTGTAAGCCGGCCACAGCCGCAAAAACGGAGGGTCCTGTTACAGGACTATATAGGAGGAATAGCTACAGGAGGAAATAGCTACAGGAGTAGCTTGGAGGGGGCCTGGTACTGCGAAGTAATGCTAACGCGGTCCCGCAGTATCAGGTACAAGAGAGGGGAGGGTTTTAGTGAGTAAGAATCTCACACTACCGGCAACCAATATCCCCAACATCTAGCCGGTGTCTTATGAAGATTTCCCTCCTCTCGCCAAAAAAAAAAAAAGCTCACCCTGACGTTACACGTTGTCCAGCGGTGGTAGATTCCTCGTGGCTGCAGCTGGGCCGGTTAGTGGATCAGGAACAGACGAATAATCGAGGTGACCATCAACCAAGATCTTCCTCGAACAATGGAACGACTCTTTCCTCAACAAAATGGCTGACTACTCGAGACCTCTTGAGTACACGACATGCCAAGCGAATTTATCTTGTTTGTGCGTCATATTATTTAATTAATGTACGATATACTCCTTGTTAACTGATAATCAGAGTCGTATCGTACTATTATGGATTAAAATGCCGTTATTATTTAATAAACGGTGTAGTATAATAAAATACCGAACATTACGTTGTAACACGGTAAAAATAATTACTTATATTTCAAGAAATATATCAATTACAGAAGTATACATTATGGGGGTTGAACAAAGACTGACTGCACGCGGCTTCCGCGTACATATTTTAGCATTGAGAAGTGGGGAGACGTTTAGCGCCACTCTCAAATGATATTCGTACTATTAACAATTATCATCTAATTTATAATCTGATCTATGTTATCGGCAAACGTTTAACGTCTCCGATGCGAGACTTACCCGATTTGAGGTCTTCTGGGTTAATAAATTTGAGGTCTCGCAGTAACTTTGCAGTTGGGGTTACTATTTCACAATTTATTGGTAGAAAGTGTGCAAGATGGTTGCGGGAGTACGTCAATCCGTCTCGACTTGTTAGGAGTTGGATGGCTGGAGCGTCTTCTCCTGGAGTTGGCTCTTCGGATTCACTGAAGCTAGGTGGTCTCGTTGGAAATTTTTGTATTGGATTTGGCAACTCTTCCTCAGAGAGGCTGGTTACAATTTCTGCATGTTTTGTTGACTCGATCAAGGCTTCTGGTGGTATCTCTTCCGCCAGGTCTGACGAATCGTTGGAATTTACAGCTGCATCTGCGGTATTTTCCGGGGTGGGCAGGAGCTGATTTTGTAGGTTTATTGGTTGAGAGATTGCAGTTTGGTCGGATTCTTCCGAGGAGGACTTCGTCTCCGCAGCTATGATTGAAAGAGACTCCAAGAAGGTTACTCGTTTCGAGGAGGTATCTCTCCCGGTTGATGGTGAGTTGAAGTCTAGAACTCGGCTTGAACTAGCAGCTGGAAAATCTTCAGGTTGTAATGTTGGAAGAGTTGAAACTCGGATTTTATCGCGGGTAATTATGGATGGATCTGAAGAAGCTCGGAAGGGCGTTGACCCTTGGTGTAGACTGCAATCGACTACGCTGTGGGTGAGTGGGTCCCAAGCAATCCCCTTTGCATTCAAATTTTTTATCATAGAACGAACCAACGTGGGGGTTTCTGGGGCGAGGACAACATCCTCGGCATGATGGTCGTCGCTCGACTTTGGTGATGCGCTGAAGGTTCTGGGCACCACGACTGTTTTGTCTAGAGTTGGAGTAGTTGTTGAGTCGATTAGATCCTTCGGCGAATCAGGGTTGATCCTTATGGTCGTGTCGTCCGATTCACTGAGGCAGCTGGTGCTTTCTCTATATTCGTTAGCCTCTTCTGATAGGAATTCGTTGACAACTTCGTCGGTGTTTGACTCGGATGCATCTGGTTCTTTTTCCTTTACAGATTCTATTTCTTCTTCAGCCGGTCGGCATATGTCAACGGAACGTTTTACTTCTCGAACTACGTCTGTGTTGTGGGGAAGTAACGATAATTTCTTCCACCTTTTATCCAGTTCGTAGCCCGGTAGCCCGCCTCTTTGGTTTGCCCATTCTTCGAACTTCTGGATGGATCGGTTTACTTTTGCAGCAAACGGGGTTGTTGACTTACGACTTATGCCGGGGGCTAGAGGTGTTCTGTCTTTTACTATGTCGACGGGTTGTTGTTGTTTTTCTACGTCCTCGTCTCCTTCATCTCCTGAATCGATGTAAGTCGCAGGCCGAAGCTCTCGCACTGGGTCTCTCACAGTGGAGGTCATTCCTTCCCCCCCTCTTAGTGGTTCGAAAACATCGTCGGTATTTGATTCGTTGATAGGTCTCGGAGATTCGTCGTCGTCGGTGTTGGATTTGGGTTCTCGATTATTGATTGGTGTTTTATGTGATCCGCGACGGAGTTGAGAGCGAAGGCGTGATGCGATCGTGTTTCGGACCTCTGGAGCACTTGGAAACTTAGGCCGCTTTGTTGGCCCAGGAGGACGGCCACGACCACGTTTTTGTACAGCAGAGGACGTTTTATCTACTCCGGTGGCAGGTAACAAAACCACCTCAGGAAGTTCGTATTTAGCCCGGTTTGTTTCAGAGATCGACGTTTTTGGTATTGCGTCCGGCGGCATTGGATCACATTTTTCGTGTTCTCTGCCCTCCGGGTTGAATGAGAGGGCGTCTGCATACTGGTCACCGACATTCGTTTTGACGATGACTTTGAAATTGAACTCGTTCAATTTTGACCGCAATTTTCGTTGTCGATCAGTGAGGTCGCGGGTATCACGGAGCCAGGCGATGCAGGCTCGTTTAGTTTGGACCGTGAATTTTCTTCCGTACAGGTATGGACGGAATTGCTGAATGGCGTACACTACAGCAAGGCATTCTTTTTCGTCTTCTGTGTAACGTAATTCCGCATCTCTTAGCACCCTTGAGGCACAAGCGACTATCTTGTCATTTGGAGTCCGTTCTAAATTAGTTGTTGCTGGATGTTTTTGAGGTTCCTTTTCGGGCTCGACGATGTCATCAGCTGAGTCCAGTTCTTGACTCAGTATACCAGAGATGCCCTGATCTGAAGAGCTCACGGCTAGTATGAAAGGTTTATTTAGATCTGGGTAAGCGAGAGTTGAGCTCTCACACAGAGCTCGTTTGATGTCAGTTAAAGCTGCTTCAGCTTCTGGATTCCAGTTAAATTTTTTTGTCTTTCTCATCAAGTCTGTTAGAGGTTTGGCTCTGATTGCATAATTATCAATGAATCTTCGATAATAATTTGCTAATCCCAGGAATTTTCTCATCTCCGTTTGGTTTCGGGGAGTTAAAACTTCCTGGATAGCCTTGAGTTTCTTTGGATCGGGCTTAATTCCGTCTCTTGAGATTACGTGTCCGAGGTATTCGACTTCGGTGCAGAAGAATTTACACTTATCTGGCTGCAAGGTGAGGCCGGCGTTCCGAAGGGCTAGTAGCAGCCTTCGTAGTCGAACTCCATGTTCTTCCAGGGATCTTGCGTGTAGAATTATGTCGTCCAAATAGATAAGGATCCAGGGGAGAAAACCCAGTGCATTATTCATCATCCGTTGAAACGTTGCTGGCCCACCTTCTATACCGAACGGCATGCGAGCGTATTCGAAATGCCCGAAGGGTGTTGAGAACGCCGTTTTATGGGCATCGAGAGGGTCCATTTCCATTTGGTGGAACCCACTGGCCAGGTCGAACACGCTAAAGAACATTGCGTCTCCGAGCTGGTCGAGAATTCCGAGAATCGATGGTAACGGAAAAGCGTCTCCAATGGAAACCTTGTTAAGATCTCGGAAATCTATCACCATCCTCCATTTCTTGGCCCCTGTCCTAGGATCCGCCTTTTTTGGTACTACCCATACTGATGAGTTGTATGGGGATGTAGAATTCCGGATGATTCCTTGTTTCAATAGATTTTCCACTTGGTGTTGGATTTCCTCCTGGTGTTGTTTGGGAAATCGGTATTGTTTTACTTGAACTGGTTTATCTGTAATTGTTGGAATTTTGAAGGTTGCTCGGTGAGCGCAACCTAGATTGTCACCTGGGAGATAGAAAAAATCAGTAAAGTCG